CCCCCTCCCGCCACAGCAAGGGAAAGAAGACGCACCGCCCAGGGGCCGGGCTCCTGGGTCGCCACAGCCAGAATGAGGAGGGGAGGGAAGGGGCCTGCTGCAGGCTGAAGGAGGGAACCACACGAGAAGACCGAAAATGACTTTATTGCAGACGTTTTGAGGAGTGGGGGGCCCTGGAAGGAAGGCAAGGAGGGCACACGCTGCAGGCCCGCGGCCAGGCGTCCTTCAGGGGTCAGCGCCAGGAGTAACGATCCCAGGGCTCTGGGGAGACCCTGGCAAGGGCAACTGCTGTTTCTGTAGTCGCTCCTGCTGGAGTCTGTCTCTGTTGGCCCTGAGGAGAGAGCACCGATTGGCTGGGGCAGGGACCCAGGAGAGTGGTGCCAAGATAGTGAGGAGGGGGCTGGAGGGAGCAGGAACAGACCTGGCCCGGGCCCGCGTGTCATTGTAGATGGCAGTGATGAGCCGGTCCTTTTCGTCCATGAAGCTCCGATGCACCTGCTGCAGCTTCCTGGAAGAGGTAGTTTGCAATTAACCCCGGCTCCCCATTCCTGCTGTCCCCCAAGTCCTGTTCCCCTCCGTTCCACCTAAAACCAAAAATTAAACAAAAAACCTCACTGCCATCGAAGAATCAGATCTGACTCATAGCGACCCCTCCTTGGGTTTCCGAGGCAGTTTCACTGCAGAAGTAGAGTGCCCCATCTTCCTTCCGAGGAGTGGCTGGTGGGTTTGAACTGCCAGCCTTCTGGTTGGCAGTCAAATGCCTTAGGCACTACACCACCAGAGCTCCTTCCAGTCCATCTAGCTTTACGTATGTGCTACTTCAGCCTAACCCTGCCTGCGGTAGGTGGGGAAGGGGCACAGAGTGGGCCGGTGCTTGTCTAGGCTCCAGTGGCAACCCAGGTCCCTGGCTGACCCGCTAAAGATAGAATCATCCTTGTAGGAGACCAGAGCGGGCTGTCCATCTAACCCTATCCCTGCACCAGGCAGGCTGCTGGCGGTGGGCACCGGCCTGGGGGTGTCTGCTGCAGACTGTCCCCTCCTGAGCTTGCCAAGGCCGTGGGAGTGGGCGTGGCCAGGAGCCAGCAACTACAAGCAGCAGGTGAGGACAGTGCTAGGGAGGCCAGTGAATGCATGTGCTTCTTGCTCACGGTTTTGGTTTGCTCCAAGAGCAGCCAGCACCAAAGAATTACATTCAGATGATGGAAAATGGAGAAGGGCAATGTCAGCACCGCTGCTTTGGCCAACTAAGAGGCTCCAGAGAGCTTAGTGAAGAGTTTAATGAAGTTCTTAACAAAACTCAAAATCATTTAAAAAAAAAAAAAAAACAGGTTTGCTAGTCTGATAGAGCCCGGTAAGACCTCTGAGACATGGCCACTCCAGGTCTGGAAGTGAACTCACTCTTGTGGCCTGCAGCCAAGCAATACACAGGCGTAGGAGGTAAACATTTACATCAAGTAGATACACTCTAGAGAGATCAGATCAATCCTGAGAGAACAGAAGGGCAGTGTTTGCACAGGGAGGTAGCCTGCAGGGTGAGAATGCAGGGGAGGGAAGAACACAGGGAAGAGGTAACTAGAGGAAGCAACTGCCAAGAGAGCTGTTACATTGTGCGGATTGCGGTCAATGTCATGGAACAAAATGTGTATGAACTACTGTATGAAAATAAATTGCTCTGTCAACGTTCACCCAAAGCACAATAGAAATTGGGGGAAAAAAAAGTTTAATGAAGTTCTTAGCTTGAGGAACCAAGATTGGGGACCAAGGGACCATGGGGATGGCCTGCTGAGCTCACCGAGTCCCCAACCCGCCTGCCCACACCCGCCACCAGGGGAGGCTGGAGGCACCTGAAGGCGATGTAATGCAGGCCCATGCCCGCCAGCATGAACAGGACGCAGTACCCCAGCACCTGCTGGTTGCGTCTCTGTTGCTGTTTCCGCGCCTCAGGCCCCTGCGGCCTCACAGCATGGAACTGGGCCCAGTACTGTGCATTGGGGGGCTCCCAGGAGCTGCTGGGAGAAAAAGGGAGGAGGCACGGCATGAGGATAGGGTTCTGCGGAGACCTGGAGGGATGAGCTGGGGGCAGGAAGCTGTACCTGCGTGCTTGCTGGGCCGGTCTAGGATGGGCTGCCGTTCCTGGAGACTTTGGGGGCCTCACCGAACGGAGCAGGTGGTCGTAGTTGCGGCGGCTGTGCTCATGGCTGAGCACGTGGTATGCCTCACTCAGCTCCACAAAGCGGTTGTGCAGGGCCGGGTTCCCAGGGTCCCGGTCGGGGTGCAGCTGGGGTGGAGCAGGCCTCCTTTCATGCCCCTTTCCATGCTCCCAGGACCTATCTCAACGATGTCCACCTACAAGGGCTCACGTCACTCCCAGAGGCCCTGGTTGGGCAGTGACCCACCTCTGGAAGGCCAGAGCCAGGAAGCATGGACAACTGGCCCTACCCTGTTCAAGCCCTCCCTGGCTGCCAGCCTCAGCTCTCACCGTACACCCTGGTCCAGGCCTTCTCAAGGAGCTCTGGTGGTGTCGTGACTAAGGCATTTGACTGCTAACTAGAAGGCTGGCGGTTCAAACCCACCAGCCACTCCTCGGAAGGAAATCTGGGCAGTCTACTTCTGGAGACACACCGCCTCGGAAACCCAAAGACGGGTCGCTATGAGTCAGAATCGACTCAATGGCAGTTGAGTTGAGTAAGAGGCCTTCTCAGTCAACGGTGGACAGGTAGGTCCAGAGAACCAAGCCCGGTCCCTCAGACAGAACCCCTCCCACCTGGCCCAGACTCCCTGGCTTCAGGCACCTCTCACTCCCGACCTTGGAGGCTGAGGGAATGTGGCACCATCCTGGGACCCACCTCCATTCCTGGGAACTTGGAACGCATCCCCATCTGGCTCAGACTTCCCCTTCCCCCCTCAGCGGCACAGGTACCTCTTTGGACTTGGTGAAGAAAGCTCGTTTAACTTCTTCAGGGCT